ATATATATAGATATATATATATATAATATATATAGATATATATATATAGATATATATATATATATACACACACACACACACATACTGTATATGTCTGGATTAACTCTTGTAATTTAAGTTTACCCATCCCCAACTTTTTCCCGTGCCTTCAAGGAAAATTCCCCTCCATCAGAGGAATTAGCGTAATTATTCCCAGTGTGACTGCTGACTACACCTCTTCCTTTGACCCCTCCATTTGTAGTGAGTGTGGTTCCTCACAAATCTATCGCTCTCGTCTATCTGTCCGTCCATTGCAGCCGACTCAGTCTAATTAAAACGAGCCCTTGCTGTGACCCTATCCTGTTTGAAGTGGAGGCTGAGAGGTTCATTATGGTTGTGTGATCTGTAACCTTTGATCCGAAATTATAACCAGCGTTGGAACAAATATATAGATTTTTCTTCTTTTTTCCCCCCTTTTTAGTCCAAAGCAGAACAATGAAAGTCAGTGACAATGTTAGTTAAACTGTACCAGCTTTATACACGACACATTGTGAAATTTAATATGTTCCTTAGCAATGAGTCAATAGAGCACTCGTGCGTGAAGAAAATCCTATCATAACTTCAATATCCCTGGACCAAAAAGAAGAAAAGAAAAGCTCTTAGAGTATAATAGAATGAACTGTGGAAACATGCATTGTCTGCTCTGTTTGACAGCATGTTTCAAGTGGATGTTTTAATGTGAAGTAATGATGAGCTAGCACACTGGGGAGTGAGGTAGTCGTGGTTGTATTGTGTAGAGGGTCTTTGAGGATAGGCTTTGAATATAAGAAACAACTCTTTCTGAATGCTCCTGCAGTAGATACATAGCTGGCAAGTCTATGAAACAGTTTCCTAGCTGGACACATTTCTATGCATTTTCACCCTGGCACTCTATGACTCTGTGAATCACAATGGGCAACTGTATCTCGATTTAGTACAGACTTTTGATGTGTACAGATTATATAAAGTCATTCTGTCTTTCCTGTTAAATCTTACTAATATATATTTTGATTTTAATTTAATTTGATGCTTTTGTTCCCCAGTCACGTTGTTTTCCAACCTTTAACTGTACTGCTGATGATGATCTCTGACCGTTCTCTCTATTTATGTTCTGTACATAGCGGCTGACTGTGAGTCCATTAGTTTCCCATTGATGTACAGATTCACACAGGTTCTTTTTGTTTTCTGAGCCAATAATCACACTCCTTTTTAAGAAATGAAAACACACAGCTATCATTATGAACATCCTGTACCCAAGCACATTGTGATCAAAAACAACGCTTTCACCTTCATATAGCCATGTCTTGTATGTTTCTTCATGTGATTGTTATTTATATAGAGAAAACACGCTTGTCATTTTATCCAACAATAAAAACTAGACCATGAAAAACAAGTGTAATATTGAATCTTTTCCTCATTAAAACAACCTTTTGTACTGTGGATGCTGGTACACAGACAATCCAGTTTGCATATTATCCTTTAGGTGCTAAAGCAGACTGTTGCCAATTATTATGCTACAAGGGATGCTACAAGAACAAGGTCAAGACTCTGTTGTTCCTTTGGGTTTTTTATCTAGCAGCAAGGCATGCAGTACAACGTATCATTATAATTAGCAAAGCAAGAAAATACAGTTCTAAGACTTCTGTGACCAAATGAAAAGCTGACTGAATTACCAGGAAGGCTGAGCAGCATGGGTTCGAGTAGTGTGTTATGTAGTTAGTTTATGTCAAATACATTAAAATTATTTTAATTTTCTTTGCACAGGAAAGTTTGTGATATTCTGGACTTTCTGGAAAATGTGATTGACATGGGCATGATTCAAATAATGACTAATGCCTGAAGACTAAATGAAAAATATGCACCGCTATTAGAGATACACTTCCTTATATGATTATATTTTGATATTTTAAAACTGAACTTTGAGCTGGGAACATATTTGGGGATTTCAGGGTGCTTTCAAGGCACCTTATTAAAATCAGAAAGTCTATCGTATCAGCTAAACTGAACAACGGCTCAGCTCATCTGCCAGATAAAGTCAGGAATAGTGCTGAAGAAGGCACAGAAGTAAATACTTAACTAGCAATAATACCAGAATGTAAATATACTGTTAGCAGTAAAACTAAGTAAAACTACATAAAGATTATAATCAAAATGTGTAAAAAGGGTAGAAAGCAAAAATACCAATTATGCAGAGTGTTTTAGTACAAAATATTGCATTAGTTGATCATTATTATTTATTCATTATTGTATAAGCAACTTTTTACTGGTACTGGAACTAATTTGAAATCATTCATATACATTTTGCTTGCATAACTTATGTGTTTTGTTTGAAAAAATCTTAAATCTGTAAAGTAACTAATTAAGTGCAGTCGGAGTGTAAGGAAGCATAAAATAAAAAACGTACAAGTACATCAAACTTAAAGTTTATACAGTACTTGGGAAATACAGTAGTTACTTTCTACCACTGCCAAGGCATACAGCAGTATCTACCATTGTATCAGCTGTTTACAAGAAATAAGGTCACTGTCAACGTGGTGTCAAAAAGCAGCAGAGTAGGTACTGATTAGTCCATTAATAGACATTAATCAACAATAATTCTGATAAGCGATTATTCATTAAAATAACATTTTGTGCGTTTTTTTTCATTTTTAAATAACATTATACTGGTTCCTGTCTTAAATGTGACTATTGGGTTTTATATTGCGGTCAGACAAAACAAGACAATTGAAGACATCAATTTTCATAACAGAACTCCATGCAAGGCGACCCGCAGCATATGTAGATAAAAACGGCTCATTCTAAGGTAACAAAAACACAACAATTACTATATTCAGGTGATTATACACTAATGAAAACATACCTGTGAATATTATATTCCATTTCTGGTATTAAATCAGATTCCGATTCTTCCCTGCCAAAAGAATCATGCTAAATGTTACACCTGCAATCCATGGAGAAACAATGCACCTGAGTGCTTATTTCTGCAACTGACAGGTTCAGGTTGTTATTCTAAGTGTCTGACAACATTATGGGAAGGATTCCTATAGAGACCAGAAATAGCCATAATATCGTTATCACTCACCATACTCCAGAGGCAAAAACTGTAATTTTACCTTGCATTTCATTGTAACAACATAACTTCATTCAAAGTGGAAACAAACTAAAACTCACTGAAAAAGACAACGAGTTGTAGATAAGAAACAGCAGTTTCTCTACTCACTCTGCATGGCTATGTAAAGAAAGCACAGAGAGACACAGGCAGAGGGAGTTTGGCATCATTCTCAGCTCAGGACACCATATATTAACATCAAATAGCTGTTTGCTGCCATATTTATGTTTTAAATCTATAATCTTTAAGATTATAAAAATATGGAGCAGAAGCCAGTATTTGAAATGCGAAAAAGTAAAATAAGTACGATTCAGTATATCCTACATTCATACAGGACAAAATGCACAAAACTTGTGCTGAAGCATGTACTTCAGTGTAAGTTACACTTTATATGCAAGGATAGCATTTGTCCTTGCATATAAAGTTTGAAGTTTGCAAATTGAGACTAAGTTTTCAATTCAATACACTTGATGATGCCATCGTACCAAAATGAGACTGAAGACAAATTGACTGAAAAAGATTTTCTCAAACATCTACAAAATATATTTTCTCTTTATTTCTGTGCAGAACAATGCATATTTCCTTTTCTTTGTAAAAGTAAAACTTCAGTCTTGATACCACGATTGATATCATCATTCATTTTTCATCTCACCAATCTTCACAATGTTTACATTTCTATAAAATACTGTAACTGACACCTGCCATCTAATTTTCTGTGGCCATGACATATTTTACTTTAATCTATATCAGTCTTCTTTGTTAGAAATAGTTCTTTACGTACTTGGGAGACGGTGATATTTTTTTAACCCAAATAAAACTTTTTCAGAAAAAAGCAAATTCAGAACAACAGATTAAGAGTTAGTTGTTTGTTAAATTCCTTCGGAGTTAGATGTGAATAGAAAATGTTTTACAACCAACTCATCTGTAAAAAAAAAAATGGTAGGAATCTTCTTCCGTTTAAAGCCAACTGAATTTAATGATTTTTTTTTTTTTTTTAAATCAAATTCACATCCTTGAAATACAAAACCATTATACGGATCTTTTATGAACTTCTATTTTATTCACAACAATCTATGTTCAGGCAAGATTTCTCTGCTAAAACTATATACAACACTTTCAGGCAGTGTGTTATTTCCTCCCTCTGGACTTATTCATCTTTAAAATGTATACGGCTGTAGGTTGTGTCAGGTGTTTTGGATAAAAGGATCCTCCAAATTGCATGAGGCTGTACACTTATCTTCAAAATTCATGTGGAGAGGTACTTCCATCTGAAGAACCCCTACATCTGATAAGCCTTTTCCACTGATAATGAAAACCTACAACAATAAACCCTGTCTATGTCTTTTGTACTGTATTTACTATTTGACTCATACGCCACAGAGTGTTTTTAGGACCTGGACCTGTCAATACCTGATATTGTGTATTTGTTTGCTGATAGGTGTGTGTGCTCTGTTGGTAGTGATTAGGACTTCAACTAATGATTGCGTTCATTATTGATTATTTTTAAGATTAACTTGTTACTTGTTTAATTAAAGAAAATAGTGCCTCCCAGAGTCAAATTACATCCTCAGACTGAAACCAAAAGGTGATTTACAAATCGCTGTCCTTTGAAAAAAGGACAGCGCAAAAAAAGAAAAGCGGTGAACCGGCAACAGGGGTCATGGGGGGCCAAGGCTCATTGATGTATGTGGGTAGTGAGGTCTGGCCAGTGTGGTCCGATCCAACAGACTGCTGAAACAGTT